TTACGGTATCAGAGAGGGAGGGTGTTACCTTGGCATGCTTGCAGCTGCTGCTGGCATTCTTCTCCAGTGCTAGGCTGGATCTGAAGTTTTGGTTTCTCTCGCTCAAGTGGGTAATGGCCGTGAGCCTGTCAAGTGGAGCTCACTGTATTGGCAATCTGAGTGCATGGACCTATGCGTAGACTGTTGGGGGGGGGAGGGGGGGGGGGGGCATGCGTGGTGTTTACCTTGTCGCTGCCTTCTCTTTTCCATCAGCTGTGACTGTGATTGCTCTGATTGCTTGTACCTCAATGTATCTAGTTACTCTCCCCCAGCCCATGGCAATGATCCATATAATATATTATTATGTACACACACGCTCTGTAAAGGCATTATACTGTACAACTATTACGATAGGTTATGACCTTGGTTAAGTGACTGTGTTTCCGCTGTATTTCCCTACAGTGATGAGTGCAATGGCAGCCGGCAGCAACGATGTGTCTTCTCTAATGAGCAAATACTTAGCAATTGACGGTACGTTTGTGTTTTATAATGTTACTACTACACTTGTAGTATTCGTGAGAAGACTGTATAGACTGGCTGTTGATGATGTCCACTACCACTAGTACCAGGTTCAACTCCAAGTACAGCACCATGTCCATGTTGTGTATCATTTGCCACAGCCACTGGTGCAAAAAAAAACTGAATAATCAAGTTTGAACTAATGTGATGTCGCGTGAAGTGAAGTTCGGTTTTCGCAGCTCTAGATGTACAGTTGCCTATGCAAACATGTGAACACTCTGTAGAGTGTGAATACACTCTGTACTGGCCATTGTGGTATGTCATGGTCGCCCTTCGTGGCCTGCAATGTTGATATTATACCGGGACAACTCTTTGTACATGTATGTGCAGCTTGTATACTAAATATCTTGTTGTTCCGTCTTCCTACTGGCTTGCAGTGTTTGAGACGGATCAGGATGACTCGGCATCACCGCCGATATCTCCGTACGTAGCATCACCAATGTGTTTCGTGCCTGGTACTACTACTACGCCTTCAGCCGGGTTAGTGCCAGTTTTTGTTGTTGTTGTTTTCATGAGCAGTTTTTTTTTGTGATTTCTTTGTCAAACTTTCTCAATACTGGTACATGTCCACATGTGTCGTACTTCTGTGCACGAAAGCACATGTGAAGCACACGTCCGCACGTAAGCCCATGAGCTAAGAATAATATCACTGTGTGTGTGTGTGTGTGTGTGTGTGTGTGTGTGTGTGTGTGTGTGTGTGTGTGTGTGTGTGTGTGTGTGTGTGTGTGTGTGTGTGTGTGTGTGTGTGTGTGTGTGTGTGTGTGTGTGTGTGTGTGTGTGTGTGTGTGTGTGTGTGTGTGTGTGTGTGTGTGTGTGTGTGTGTGTGTGTGTGTGTGTGTGTGTGTGTGTGTGTGTGTGTGTGTGTGTGTGTGTGTGTGTGTGTGTGTGTGTGTGTGTGTGTGTGTGTGTGTGTGTGTGTGTGTGTGTGTGTGTGTGTGTGTGTGTGTGTGTGTGTGTGTGTGTGTGTGTGTGTGTGTGTGTGTGTGTGTGTGTGTGTGTGTGTACATGTGTTTGTTCATTGCTCAGGCCAAGCCCCACGGCGAATGGTGTAGTCAACTCTGCGTAGACAGGGGCTCGAAGCCTGTTGTTTTGCACCCACTTGGCATTGTGACCTTGACGATTGCATCACTGCTTTACTCCATGCCTGTTGACTTGTGTTTCCCAGCGAATCTAAGTCTGTTGATTCGTTTTATTACTTTCCCTGAACAAAGGGTATTCCCTGCTACAGTGTAGGTGCTGGCCACCACTTGCTGCTAACCCGCAACACCAACATATTGGATGTGCTGTTATCTTTTTCCTTTACGTCCTGTTATTTTCTAACCCATCGAAACAGTCACTTTGACTCCAGGACTTCACTCCATTATCAAAGGCCCGTGAGTCATGACCAGGGTGTCTTTTCTTGACATTAGGCCATGCTTGCCGAAAAGCATTGCTTTGGTAACGATGAGTTTGTCCTTCACAGAGAGTTTTATTTATTCGCCTTCTGGTCGCAATTATAGGTTGTGTAGACTGATGAACCTATCCATGGTCTTCCTGATGTAGGTGCTGGTGCACCTGGTGTGGGTGTGTGCTCATCAGGAAGTCGTCAAATACCACGGGGGAGGGGGGGGGGGATGAGACCAAGTACTGTACATAGCAGGGAGTCGTAAAATATTTTACGACTCCCTGTTACATAGCCATTACAGTGGTCCCTTTATAATCCGGCACCATTTTGTGCTACTGAAATTCTGCTGGGGTGCTGGATTAGAAGATCTGATTTACTGCTGCAGTATGCATGAAATGAACATTTGGATTGCTGAAAATTATGCTCGTTTGTAGAGGGTGCTGGATTAATGTACTCTTGGCACATTTTTTTCGAAGCCATGGTGTGCAACTCTGCATAATGACTATTTATTGAGAGCTGGAACTATGGTTCTCTCTCACTCTGCATAATGATCAAGACAGAGGATGTGCAGAATTAGTTAGTTATATTTTTATGAGTGATTTAAGGTGCTTTTCTCAGGGATTGCAGTTGAGTTATGCATGGCATTTGCAAGCTGCATGTGACAATACTTCTCTCATACCGTTCTGTACTAACATGTATACCGGATCTGTGGACGTGTGCTCAGTACTCGTATCAGTTTCCGGTATAATATAATTCTCCTAATCTTTCGTCTAGATGCTTCATCAACAGCAGTTGCTGTTTCATGCAGCTTGTCAATGGCCAGGAACTGTGCATGTGTTGAGCACTCTATTACTGTAGCATGTACTACATGTAGTATCTGAAGTCGATAACAGAAGATACCGACCATACGAAGTACTGCAAAGTATACGACCCACACTAGCCACAGCTTCATGAACACACCACAATCAGCAAACCAGCTCGGAAACCATGAATATTGAGAGAAAATAGCAAAGATTGGACTGAGCCTGCAGTCTAATTAAAAAAAAGAGTACTTCATCAAGCAAGACGCAAAACTCAACACGGATAGTGATTATGTGCAGTAGAATAAAGGATGGGGAGTTAGGGGAAACGCTATGTACAAAGCAATTCAGCAGTTTGATGGAAAGAAAGGAGGCAAGTAGTTTCGAAGCAGGAAACAAGCCTGGAGAGCAGTGAACTATTCAGAATCGTCATCGGAGTCATCATCGCTATACGCCTGAAGACCGGCCAGACCCTGGGGCTTATCATTCGATGGTGATGTCACTGGGGCCCCGGAAGCGGCCTGTTTAGCACCTGAACTAGCTGCTAGTGCTGATGGAAGCGGTTCACGCTCCTCAGCCTTGGCTGTAGAAGATACCTGCTCTTGGCTCCCATGCGTAGTAGTAGTACGGGCGCTGGATGAGCCTTCACGATCAGCACTCTCCAGTGATCGGCGAGAAGACTTACCAGACGGGTCATCGTCCAAACTCCTGTGCAGACAGGGAGAGTAAAACCCACACACCATGGATTGACTTATTTCAAGTTATTTGCGCTTGACGTCGAACCCATGAAGAGATGCTGCATCAAAATATCGTCATTATGAGGTAAGTTCTCTAGGTTGTAGGCAGTGGCTCAGCACATGTGCCATGATCCTGGCACACAGTGGCTGGCTGGTATCCAGCCACCATCACACAGTCCCAATAAGTGCATTACACAATCGTCCTGTACGACAAGCAAAACATTACCATAATTCTAAAGTAACAATGAGCTGACTGGAACAGAGAGAGAGAGAGAGAGAGAGAGAGAGAGAGAGAGAGAGAGAGAGAGAGAGAGAGAGAGAGAGAGAGAGAGAGAGAAGAGAGAGAGAGAGAGAGAGAGCGAGCGTACCGCTTCCGTTTCGTCTTGACCAGCCCCGCAAAAAGCGATGCCTGCGACTTTCCAGACTTTTTCTTTGCCTGTGCGGCAACCGACTGGAAGAGGTTGTCCCGCACCTGTGCATCTGGATCAACATGCGGTGCTTGCATAGATGCCTCCTGGAACAAGAAAGAGAAGAAATTCACAATCCTCAAACCAAAACGGTCTACATTCAATATTATTATGTCGCTGTAAATGTACTTGGGAATCATAATACATTATATTATTGAATACAATACAGGGGTATCACAGCATGATCGGCAATGGTCATGTTGCCCCGATGCTGGCTCCGTACCAGCGAGAACAAAAATCAGGATGTTGCATGGATTTTGTATACATCAGAATATCAACCTTGCTACTACCATTGTCAGTGAAGTACGTTCCCATGAGTGACTTTGATTATACAAGTGACAGTCTTGGATGCACAAGGAAGTGCCGTACGATCACTGGGGTGGGTTGCCTGTGTACTCCTGAACACAATTTTCGCACTGCATTATCCACCTGGGTATAAATCAATGAGCCATATGATACCAAACGTTCTGGCGAACGAGTATAATGGCTTGCGTGGTGCTCGCATAGTCTGGTAGCACAAGTTACTATGTTCATATGGATTCTGGTGTGTGTGTAGGGTGTGCACAAAATTACCCGGAACTCCCGCATCTCCCGGAGCTCCTCTTGACGCTGGTTGTTCTTGATGCGTGACTGATAGTCGGCCACTTTGTTGAGAAACTCAGCCTCTTCCTCTTCCAAGCCTTGCACCATCGCCTCTATGGAAGAGCGGGCATATACATATTACACGTGAAGATTTGAGGAGAGAAAACCAGAGTGTAATGGTGGTACCTGAATCGGGTGAAACACCACTCAAAGCTACTGAATAATACACCACAAGACACAATCAACAATGGAGATAGGTATCAGGAATGGGCAGTATGAAGGTTGCCTGTGCCATACACATTTGGGACCCCCCAGGGCCAGGGTAGCATAACGCCTCGCCAGGAATTGTTTTATCTCCAAGTAGACGGTACCGCGGCAAGATCTGAGAGTAGCACAAGGATCATATCCCGGCCTCCTTCTGTTTTAGCCTTTTAATCAATTTGTCACCCACTGTTCCCCTACTACAGCGATTTAGCCCTGATTGCGGCCACTTTCAGTAATAGTTAGTGTGTGTTGTATGCCCACTCACCCTGTAGGGCCTGTGTTGTATGCCCACTCACCCTGCAGGGCCTGTACCAGACCATAGTCCTAGTAACATCATGATGCATGTTACCACGTTACTGTCTCAGCCCTGTTCCCACCTGCACTTGAGTGCTAGTCAGACCTCGCGTATCCGGATCCCTCGCCATCCAGAAGAAAATAGCTGATTACAAATGTGCAGCATACGTGATGTATCCAACAAAAACCGGTGTTCGATTATCCGGTTCCTTCGCCTATCCGGAATTTTTTTTGTGGAAAACGGATGTGTGCGGTTAATTAAGCGAGGTCTGACTGTATCCTTATATTAATTACCCCATCTCTTTGTTTAGCGTAGCACATTACACAGATTACAAACCAATTCCGTGGTTGGGTGTTTCTCCTACGCCATTACGTCTAAGTTCCTCCCTAACTGTGCACCGAACATGTATAAATGCTATGTCCGTCGTCCCCTTGTCGAATATGCTGTTCCCATCTGGTTTTCTCCCGTTACAGGGGCCGTCCGTAATCTGGTTTTCTCCCGTTACAGGGGCCGTCCGTAATTACTAGATTACTTCGATCCCTTATTCATCTGGACAACTGAAGGGCATCAGAAGGTATGGGTGCTACAGTGTGATGCGAACTGACACTGTCTTATTCATCTGGACAACTGAAGGGCATCAGAAGGTATGGGTGCTACAGTGTGATGCGAACTGACACTGTCCGAGGCACTACTTCAAACACTGGAAGCCCATCAGCGCCTGCTTCTAAAGATCCTATTTAGAAAGGACCATCTCATCTCATCTCAATGTCTTTACAACCTTGCATCTTCATCTCCCCTTAGGAAAAAGCAACACGAACAACATCTCTGCCCACTTGTTTATAGGATATGATTTGCCCAAGTTCCGCGGCACCTTGCTTTGTATATCTGGTTTGTTCCCACTAGACCCACTTGCAATGCTATGTCACTGCCTTGTGTTAATCCTTCCCGGTGCCTGAAATCCCCTTTGTTCACTGCATACTCCCTATGGTCCACCCTGCCTTCGAGCCTTTTAAGACATGCACCAGTATCAAGGAATTCAAACTTGCACTTTCTCTCCACATGCAACTCACTGATCTTGTCACCACTCGTTCTCTTCTTCTTCTTCTCTCTTTCCCTCCCATTTTAAATGTAGTTTTTAGTTAGCCGTGGTTGGTTACCACCCTTCATTTCATTCTCACTATTGGCAGGCGTATGGCGAGCCAGGAGATGTTGTAGAAATAAATGAATAAATCCCAAGGTCGCTCCATGCACACCAACATGCCAGCACAGCTCTATAGCTGTTCAGTGCAGCAAATATTGCTCATGCTGCATTCAATCCAATGCACCACGTGTTCACGAGCACACATCAGTGAAGCCACAGATAACCGAAGCGCAGATAAGCGAGGGTGTACAGTACAGTATGCGGTATGTCTTACTCGGGTCATGCTTTTCATCCCATTCTGCCTGCTTCTTATCCTTCTGCTCCTGCAGTTTCATCCATAGAGGACGCCGGTCAATCGGAAGACCCTCATTACCTGTAAAGAACAAAAAAAGAGAAGAAACCCTACCACTTTACAATCAGACTCCGCTATATCCAGTCTTCTCATCAAGCAGCGGAAAATTGACTGAAGCAGATTTACGACAAACACTTTCATTACAATGCACTGCATTCCGGGCATCCGGCTCCCTCCCACCAAGAGTACATGCCCCCCCCCCCCCCCCCCAAGAGTGTGCAACTGGCTGCACCATCTTTATCCAGTGCTGCGACGGCTGACATGGTTCAATAGGCTACGTGGCCAAACAGTGCAAAGTTAAAGAGAGTTGAACCCAAAGCAGGGTTGCGTACAGCCCTGTATCTATCATGCACAGGATGCAAATAATGCGTATGGGTTTGTCATTATGATGTGAAGTCGTGCAGTCGCAGACCCATAGACTGGGGTTGCATACCCTTGGGGGTTATGTACTCTTGCTTGTACTGATCAACACGGTAACAAGGGAGAGTGGCTGGTACTTGGCAATGAAACTTTCTATTTGTTTGTAGCATGATGGTACAGAGTAGTTACGGCCGTGCTGCAGTCGTGTCACGGCAGGATAAAGTGTCTGAATTCTGAACCCATGCATGCTACGTGGAGTAGGGGAACACCTTTCTTAAGCACTGTCCCAGATATATAGCTATGCGCTCTCATGTAACATTGTGCGACTTCACAGGGCTATTGCATGGGCCCATCAAGACTCAAAGTCTCAATGGAGCCAAATCTCTTTTGCAACTGACCAGTTTTTGCATTACGCTTGAATGCCAGTACTTTGTCGCTTTCCACAAGCGACTCGAGACCCTGGAAATTAGAATACTAGTAAATCTGACTCAATACAGCAGAGTGCTGTTCAGGGAGAATTCAGGGAGAATGAGCCCATGGCAAAGCAAGTGTTTGCTTTGGTCACAGTGAGTCGCCTTTGCTGCATCTCACACTGGTTTACAATACAAGTCGTCATTTTACTGTATCACCAAGGTGATTTCTGTTGCACACTACTGCAAAAATGAAGGCTGTCCCCGGGGAAAATCGCGATTCTGCGGCCGCATTTTTCCCCGCGATTTTTTGCGATTTTTTAAAAGACCGCGTTTTCCGCGATTTTCCCCGCGTTTTGAACTTTTTTGTTGCACTACACGTACACACAGTGCACTGTTCGGTCAGCAACGTCTCATTGTGGCGGCTTTGTAATCAAATATGACGAGTGCTTACACCAGAGACTTGTAACTGATTGATTTCACTACATACTCACTGAAAATTGCCTCATATCAACTGCAAACTTGCCGCATATCAATAATATTCACCGCATATTTACCGCAAATTCACCGCAAATTATGCCATGATTATATGATATTATGCCGTGTTTTTTTTGCGATTTTTTCAGCGATTTTCCCCGGGGACAGTGAAGGGCAAAATACACACCAATTTCCCATGTTTGGGGAATTTGGGCCTGGACCAAACAGCAAAAAAGTGTGCTTTGCTTTGGTCATCATGAACGATAGGATGACGGTTGTCAAACAGAAAGTTCAGGGCCAAATCACTGTATCACTACAGTTGAACATCGATTATCCGACCACCTCTGGGCAGACAACTGTCAGGCGGTGTTCAGATAAGGCAAATGTTCCGGATAAGAAAAAACTGTCACTCACACACTTTCAGTGGTTATTACTAGCCGCACGACCTTTTTACTTTTTACTTTTCAAAATTTTCGTATTTTTTGAATGGCTCACTACATGCACAGTGCGTACTCTACGGCACGTGCGCCCAAAAAAACTGTTACGGATAATCGAATGGTCGGATAGTCGATGTGCGGATAATCGATGTTCAACTGTATGGCAATAATGGAAAAGGTTTGCGCTCACCTTTTGCACGACATGGAGCAACGAGCAACAGAAACTAACTAGTGATAATGATCGTGTATACTGGTGCAAGATGCAGTCAACATGAGTCACTATGATCTAAACAAAAACTTAGAAATGGGCTTATTCTCCCGGAGTTGCACACTCTGGTTTATGTACTCTTGGTGTGAGGCTTGAACAGTGGTGAACATTGCATTAAAAGTGGCATCAAATTTTCTTTTACTCCTCATGAATCGTAAGTCCTTTAGACTTCAATAACTTCCAGGAAAATCCACCACACCGCAGGTACATATGAAATCAGGAACGTGTAATTTACCTTCTACTTCGGTTGATTTTACTTTCTCCCACTCTTCTTGGCGTTTGTCGAGTTCAGTTTCAAGCTTGGAATCCTCTTTTATGGATTTGAACGACGGAGCTTTTTCTGTACCACCACTGGCGAAATTCATTTTCGAGGGGTTCTCCAAGCCCTTGTGCACGGAGCATCACAAGAGTACATCAACGTCTAGCAAAGATAGCACACCTCCTCGTCTATAATAATTATAGCTATCCATACAATCACAATTCAACCATTATTTTGGAATGTACATCATAATTTTGTGTATAAAAGAAAATCCAATTTTTTGCCTCTTTTAAAAATTTTGTCGTTGATTTCTTGATTTTCCATGCATCAATAAAATGGTTGCTATAAGTTTCTTTTGAGGACACTCATAGTATGGTCAAAGGACTCTTCGAGCACTGTACACGTGCTCACTCCACGAAAAGAAGAGAACAACGACGTGTAGTATAGTAGTGTCTGAAGAACTAACTATTACTTCAAGGAAGAATTAGAAAGACATGATTGATGGTAGCTACTTTTTGGTGTTTGGTTGATGCATGTGTATGTGGTCCACCTGCGGACTTGGCACTTTGGCCGGATCCCTAGAGGAGGAGAAGAAGACCAAGCTGTGTTAGACTAGAGACCAAATACAAATCTTTCTTACTGTACGTTCGGCAGTGCAGGAGTGAGTATCTACATCGCTATCGCTGTGCTTCTCTGTAGCAGAGTAGAAGCACTTGCTTGTTGAGAATGGCCGAAGAAAAATCCGATTTTCTTCGCCTTCGGGTGGTGTTACCTCGCCATGGTCAACAAACATACGTAAGTACGGCCTGCTGTTGTCGAGTTTATTTATTTCCTCAACTCGAGCTGTACTCTTTTTCCAGGTTTCTGTTGTAGTGTTGAGAGCAGTTTCTATAGCATGTACTTGTAGTTGTCATATTGTCTGTATCAAGAGTACAATCATTATGTCTAAGTAGTAAATGCTGCTCTCTGACGATCGCTGAAATGTGTGAAACATAAAGTTACAGCTACGCAGCCTTTCGCCTCTGTTGTGTGTGTAAAAAAATGTATAATTATCTGCTCTTGCCTGTATCATAGCATTTGTACATGCACACGAAAGGCACAAAAGGAAGTTTGTAGAGTCTGTCGTAACTCCGAGCTTCTTGCTCAATGAATCATCAGGTGACTTGTGACACATTCAGTGGGACAATTCACTTCTTCCACTTCTATTCGCTCATATTGAATTTTGACACTTTCTGTGCTAACAGCTCCCTTCACCCAAGTGACCATGCACATGACCACTGGGTCATGGTCACGGCATTTTTTCTGCGTGGAACCTATACTAGTACCTGCCAACCATCACCAAATCATGGTTTATATACTGGTCAAGTCCTGTGTGTCAGAACTTCTCTCAGAAGTCACCTGATGTCGTTGGGTGTTAGGGTTGGTTCACATAAGCCGAATCGGCGCCGGGAAGCACCGGCGGTGAGCCAGCTTCTGGTCCGTCCCACGTACAGTTCGAGTACTGGTGTAGTACAAAATCTGCTACCATGTAGTACAGAATTTGCCCAATGCGACGACACAGAATGCCAATTGGAGCTTGAATTCCATGTTTCTTCAGTAGTTCAGGGGACAGTGAAGGTCTTTTGGTGATGGCCACTTGGTGCTACCTTTTACTGCGGGCGGTGAAACTACTTCTACACCTTTTATGGCAATCTAGTAAAAGATGGTGTCGAAATTATGCATGCAAACGTTGATGGAGTCACAATAACTTGCGAATGTATCCTTCATATTTTGTGTTTGTTTTAGACTTTTAGTTGTATTTCTCTCAAAAGTTGCACAACAGTCCAGCAGATCATCCGACAAGGATGGGTTGGTATGCTGACTTGATTTGCCACCTTGAAGTGACTACAAGAATGACGAACGGACCTCATCTTTGGCTTCAATTTAGGAAATTGTAGGATGGGCCTTGGTTCGAAATTTTGACAAAGTCTGGATCCCGAGACCGGCTATCACTGGCACAAACGGTTCACATACCATTTTTGGTCAAAATTGTACGGGATCGGTGCCGGGGCAGATTGCAAGAGTTGGGCACTGCCCAGCTTCGCCGGCGATCGCCTGTGATGATTTACCGTATGATTTTGGCACGTATTGCACTGGTTCACATAATCACAATGCACCGGGAGAGGTTGCAAGGGGCCCACTGCCGTTGCCTCCCGGCGCGTACCAGCGATATGTGAACCAACCCAGGGTGCTTCGGATGCATCCAATGTCATGGAGCGCTCCCGCCCTTGTGTGGAGTGAGGTAAATGGGTCCTGCTGGTGCCTGGCATGACGCAGGTCACCTGAGATAGTCGGAGTGTGTGCCATTATCGTGTCTGGTTGCCTGCACGTAATACGTGTGCATGGTGTTTGTTTGCTTCTGTTTTGATTTTTCTGGCACAGGTGATTGTCGGGATGGACTCTACCGTGGGTGATATAGCATGTGAAGTAGCCTCAGTGCTCTCAATCTCACCCGAGAAGTAAGTACAGCAGTTAGCATACTAGTAGTAGCCGTTGAAACTAGTAGTGGTCATGCCGTAGTACATGACGTAGTACAGTATTGTACAGTAGTGGTGCTATCCATCATTCACCCCAGTGTCTGGAGATATGTGGATTTTGTAGAAAAAAAAAAAAAAAAAAAAATCAGAAACTAACTTGGCTCTTGGGCTTCGTGGCTGTCCTCCAGTAGTGGTGTTGTTGTGCATTGGCTGGTAAGCGAATGGCGTGTGCGTATGCCACCCTGCCATGCACATTGTGTATACTTATGCTGGCTATCAGCAGGATTGAGCTCAAGTGGGTTAGTAGCCAACAACTATCTGCATTTCATGGAGAGCAGGACCTCAATTTCCTGTTCCAAGAGTGTACAACAGTCAGTGTAAGCAGCAGTATGTTGTCTGGGGGTCCGATGTTGGTCTGTACTTTCACGAGGGGCGCTAGGAATTTTCTATGGGTGCCGGTCTCGTATGAGCGCTGCGTCTAATGCCTGAGCTGAATTCTACCAGGTACGGTGGTGCATCTTGAATGCGAGAAAGGATTTCTGATTATTTGGTTTGAGAGATTTTATTCGTATTGCTAGCTTTCCCTCTGGAGTACTCTGCAGCTTGTGTGTCAGTCGCAGGGTTCGCTCGGAAGCTTAGAGAGACACTCGCTCCCTTCCTGTTAGCAAAGCACTTGGTTAACTGAGTGAACTCAATCTGATACAGCATTTGTACATCTCTGCGTTCATTTTTACTGTTGCAGCTTGAAGATATTCACGGAGACAGGGGCTATGTGTCCACTGCACTATCATGCAAATCTGCTTCTCAAGGATGATCAGCTGATCGTAGCGTCATACGATAATATCGTCAATCAGTAAGTCAGAAGAGCATGCCGTACTCACTCGATTAGAAAGAAACCCGGGCTTCTGTTTTTCCAATGCCAATTTGGAGGAGGCCTCTATTCGAGAGGGGCTTTTATTGTTTCAATGTGTGCCGGTATTCCAATCAAATCCCTTAACACTTTTAAAATGTTCAAAGCAACTTGGCCTCGGGTTAGGTCACACTCACTGTGTCGACCTGGCTATGTGCTGGTATGTACATACGTGTACAATGTCGTGCACATGTACATGCCACTGCATGCACATGATGTTTTGTACGCACTTGACCTCACCGAACATGCACTCCCTGGTCACCCGATGCTTTGCAAATAGTAGTCCTCGCTTCTATTCTAAAGGGCCCTGTATTATTTCAAACGTTCGTTGCATTGGGGCTATTATTCGAGAGGGGCTTCTATGGAGTGAGTGCGGTACATCCTGCCGTAGGGGATGTACATGGACACTAGTACCTGTAATGTTGCCTGCTAGGAGTCTTCCTATTACATTGATGTTTGACAGTTGGAGGAATGCTTGAATTGCCATTTGCCATTTACCCTGGCAAGATGACAGCAATTTCTGCAATATCCATCGTTTTCCTTTGAAGTCATTGTACTCTTTCCTTATGTGTTGCTGTTGGGGTTTTTTCGGATAGTCCTGGTGCCGTTGGAAAGCCTGCTGGTCCTGTAAGTATGGTTGTGTTCTTTGGTGCTTGAAGGTAGTTCTGCCGACCAAGGTCTTGGTTTGTTGTACAACTTAAGTTTATAGGCTTTTGCTCTCATCTATGCACTATCGAATGCACTAGACAAAGCGAGGAGGCAATTATTGAATAGCAACTGCTACAGGTGGAATCCCGATAACTCAAGCCCCCCCCCCCCCCAAATGCCATGGAGTACTGTATATCATGTAATTTTAGGTGAATTTAAATTTCGGTATCAGGTACCTGCCAGGTTTCAGGTGTAATGTAGAATTAGGTGACCAGCCTACCCTTCGCATACAGTGCATACTCTAGTGCCTTTTAGGTGTAATCTAAATTTAGGTGCCTGAATTCTCTACCGAAATTAAAATTACACCGAAAATAACGTGTTATACAGTAACTTCTAACTGTCCTTCATATCATATCAGGATGCCACCTGCATAAGCACAGAGTACAATGAAAAGATAGTTCACTGATCCTGGCGTCCAGACATGTAGGGTTTTAGAAGCCATTTGCCGGAGCATTCGTACGGCGTGCGAGAAAGGAGGAAGTGTGGAAGCACGGCAGGGATCCAGCTAACGGTGTTCTCTGTACAGCTCGTTGTTATTTTTGTAGTTTCACGTCCACGCCGCTGCTGTTCTATTGTGTTTGAACTGCTGTAGGTGTCCACTGATCTCTACCAGCAATCAACTGCAGCAGGTACGATAGCACAGTGTGTACACTGTTAGATCCTGTCCGTGGCTGCCGCCTGTTTGAGCTTCAGTGGATCTTTTTTTGTTTGACCGTGGAGGATTTTGAATCTCTGATGGCATTGCGTGTGTGTGTGTGTGTGTGTATGTGTGTGTGTGTGTGTGTGTGTGTGTGTGTGTATGTGTGTGTGTGTGTGTGTGTGTGTGTGTGTGTGTGTGTGTGTGTGTGTGTGTGTGTGTGTGTGTGTGTGTGTGTGTGTGTGCATATGTGTGTGCATATATGTGTACATATGTGTATAATAATATGGCCTCCCTCACATGGGTTTGCTAGGTGACCGGCTTCTGGTAATGAACAAGTACATGAGGCAGTGACACTGTATCACAAGCAGGCACGTAGCCAGTGCAGTGCAGTGCTATGTCGCCTTAGATATCGTTACAGCCCTGCTGCCTGTGTCAGAGTTACAGGGAAACCTCCACCGCACTAGTTCACAAAGTGTCTGGTGGGTGTTCGCGCGCGCGCGCGTGTGTGTGTGTGTCTGTGTGTGCTCTGTACTGTGTGCCATGCAGGATGCATTGGCATGGTGACGCCGATGCCAGTTGCCGCTCATCACCATGGCTACGTGCAGCCGGCCGGCATGTTCTCTGCTGGCGGCGGAGGCTATCCCATGGTAACGCCGTCACAACCCTACGCTGGCGCTCACGTCATGACTCATTGCATGCCAACGCCCATCAATATGCACACGTCCACGGGTGGTGATGCTCACGCAGCGGCACACTCGTCAGCAGCAGCAACATCAGCAGGCAGTGGCACTTTCACACCCGACCGGCCTCCATCGGGTCGAAAGAGCGAAGTGTCCCGAAAGCGCAAGAAGAGTCTCCACGCCGGCTTGGAAGACTCCGAGAACTACACGATCGACCATAGCTTGAAGAAATCCTATCAACGTCCTAGCGCTGCCTCGCACCAGCTGTCATCAGCCGCACCGGTGCCACTCAATCTTTCTACTGAGCCTTCTAAACCCAATCCACGCTTAGCAGCTCCCCACGACCCCGGTCATATTTCCGATGCTGACGTGAGCATGGACATGCCAGAGAGGATTCCGTCCCCGATTCCACCCCAAGCCGCTGCTGTTACCAGTGCTCTCAAGAGTTCTCTCAAGGCCCATAGCAGTAAATCCAAGCAAACAGCAGGGAAGTTGCACTCGAAGCCAAACATGGCCTCTGAGAGTGAAAGCTCCTCTGACTACTCATCCTCTGAAGAATCAGACTCTGACAGTGATCATCGTCCTTCATCTCGCCAAGTGGCAACGAGCACTACCACTGCTAGAACAAAGCAGCAGCAGCAACAGCAAGCCTCGAAGATCTCCAATTCGAATACCACCAGTAAAACTGCTGGCAACAAGAAAGCAGCTACTAATTCCGGTTCAGGTGTTGCCAAGCCGATTGTGCCATCGAAAGATAGGACCTCTACTAAAATGACTTCTCAGTCTCTCTCTGCTGCTGCCAAAGGCAACAAAGATAGAGACGATTCATCTTCTACGTACTCTTCAACTGAGGAGTCAAGCTCTGAAGAGGAGCAACCCGCTTTTGCTAAAGGGTCAGTAGCAACGAAGAAAGCTGCTTCAGTAGCCAAGGTTCCTGCTAAGAAGCCGTCTTCTGCAGAGCAGGGAACTGGCAAGCCTGTGTCAGTTGTCAGTTTAGCTGCTGCTGCTGCTGCTGCAAAGAAAACACCTGCCCCTCCGGCAGAGAGCAGTGAATCGTCGTCTAGCTATGAGTCTGACTCTGGAATGGAAACGGATGATGACGCGCCTACTCCTCCTGCTCCCGCAGCCTCGGCTGTACCCGCCAAACCACAGCCACCCATGAACAAAGGTGGTTTTGCGGGAATCAGAAAGAAATCCTCTTCCACTTCCATTTCTGGAGCTGGCCAAGATTCTGAGGTTCCGGAAAGCGGCGGGGAATGTGCTCCCAGGACCACTGCATTGCCAAACTTGAGGCGAGATGCAAAAGCCAGTACTGATCAAAGTACTGCACATCCCCACAAGGCAGATAGTAAATCAGCTGTTCCTACCTCGCCACCACTGATCACGAGTCCAACAATCGTCGTGAACAAAACCAGTGATGCGTCCGATTCCTCCGAGTATGAATCCACTGACAGCGAGAGTTCTAGCAATGAGCACACACGGTCACCAGTCAAGGCGGTCAAGGCAAACACCAATCACACAGCGCCTGGTAAGAAGCCTGCTGCCAGAACTACAACTGCAGTTCCCGCGTCCAACAAGAAGGTGCAGGTCCCTATAAAGGACGAGAGCATTACTGCCTCCAGCGCCAGTGAGTCTGGGTCGGAATACGAGACACACAGTGAGGCTGAGAGTGACCGCGTTCCACCAATTGAGCCCAGTGGTAAACCGGTCTCATCAGCCAGCAAGTCCAATCCCTCAGCTCTGCCGCAGACACCCAAGAAGCGTGGCGCTACGCCTGCTCAGACACCAGCTAAGGTTGCTACTAGCCAGAAAACGCCAGCCGCTGCGAAGAAGGGAGGTGCAGCAAAGAAAACGCCGGCAGCCAAGGCCACTCCGAAGGCACCGAAAAATGCCTCAAGCGCAACCAAAGGAGCTAAGAAGGCCGGTGAGATTATTATTCAGTGTGACTTAAAACCTGAAGCCATGTTGGTGCGTGACTTCAGCCTGTGACTTGAGCCTATGACCTTCACTCGTTGTTCAGGTCTGTCTGGCCAGGTGGATATATTGAGGGGACTGAGAACCAGGTCATCACTCTGAAACCTTCCTTCTACTGCACCAGGTTGCGGTGTGTACAGTATGCTTTTAAGTTAATTACACATGTACATAGGCTGTGTTTACATGGGAACTTTTAACCCGGACCGAGTTCAGCCCGGGTTCAAAGTGCTCGGTGGAAAATGTAGGTTGGCTTTTACATGAAGAGGTTGACCCGGGTCGATTACTGATTCGGGTCGATTACGCGTGCGTGTGTGGTGTGAATTTGTGCACAGGTGGAAGTGTGGGCGGTGGCTCAAGCACTGCTGTGTCTTCATCTCGTAAGGCTACTGGCAGTAAGTAACGTAAGTGGTGGGGAATTGTTCCTCTTTGTCAAATAACAATTTTCAGCTACAGTACGGTCGGGCGCCGAAGAACGTGTCAGGGTTCTAGCCGAGCCCGTTCTTACAAGTATTTTTCGCGAACACAGCCGTTCGTTCTTATTCGATGGTACAGGTATGCATGTACATGTACATGTATGACTCTATACTGAGTGTACAGGTATGTTCGAAAGTTTACATGTGGACCGCACATGCATGTACCAGTATGAGTCCATGACTGTTGCATGGTGACGCAAATGCACACCTGCCACTTCACATGTTTTGACTGTACCATGAAACTACGGAAATGTACCATCCAAACCTGCTAGTACTTATGTAGAGTTATATTTCTGAAGTTCTGAGTGTACGATTGGTTGTTGTCTGATGATTGGTTCAGCTATGAAACTCTGAGTCGCAACGGAATTTGCCAAGGTTTTCATTGTGTGCCTGTGTGTGCATTATAGTGTACAGTACAGTTTCCGTTCTTACATGTATCTGCAAACAAACCGGCCTTAGACCGTTCTTAAAAATTGGTGAAATTCTAGCCTGGCCGTTCTTCGGCACCCGATAGTACTGTATTTACTGTTTTCCGCAAATTTCACTAGGGAGCTTTCTTCTACGAAACACATCTAAACCTTTACATTCTGTGCCGCTGTGCATAAAAGAACATGGAAAATGCATGCACTTGCCCGGAAACTGTGAGTCGAACTTTCGAAATGCCTGCTGAAATGGCCAGAACCGTTTGGTTGGCAATGCAGTGCGCTGCACGCCTGTAGTTATGTATGCATGCGAGTGCAGTGCAGCACTTTCGACCCAAGGGAAGCACAACTCATCATGTGAGAGCTCCAGTCGGGTTGAGAACTTTTCTGTCAGTACAGCCTCTGTACGGAAACAGTGTGCTGCTTTGCCAGGGTTGTCTCGGCTGCTATCACTAGGGAGGTTTAGTTCCCACGTAACGGAAACGCGTACGTGGGTGATACACGTAAAGTGGATGAAGGGCACCCACGTTGCAATGTTGTGTTTAGTCACACGGAACAAACAAAAGCATGAAGCGAAAGGCCCAAACCTGGTCAAAGACGAAGCTACCCGGGCCTAAGAAGCTCATCCAATATTTTGATTTCGTGTTTCGGAAACTTCTTCAGCTGAGCACCCTCACAGCTTGCAAAATGCGCTCCATTCTGATTTTCACCCACGTTCTGCCGGAACGTGGGTGGGCCTCCATACACGGTATGTCGTGAATCAGGAAACGTCTAGACGTGGGTCACTGAGTATCACGTGGTACACACACGTAAAGTACCCACAGATTACGTGGGACTAAACCTCCCTACTGTTGCACCCGGACAACGTCTTAGTTGTGTCTTCACTGCCATAATGCCACTGCCATGACTCCTTCAAATATCACCATTTTTGCTTCTGCATAGAGAGCCACTTGTCCCGGCTGACATGGCACAGTCAATGATGAAAATCATGGTAGGATTTCCCACGTCATGTCATGTGTGTGTGTGTGTGTGTGTGTGTGTGTGTGTGTGTGTGTGTGTGTGTGTGTGTGTGTGTGTGTGTGTGTGTGTGTGTGTGTTTGTATGTGTTCTCCACATGTACCTGGGATCAAAAGGAGAGGTTTCCGTGCATGTCTTTTAGTTTGCTATACCGGTGCTTCAAAGTACATTGTAATGTACTACATGTATTCGTATTTGATTTGACAAGTGAGGAACTTACCTGCCTGTCCCTCCTCTCCTTGGCTTTGTCCCTGCCTTTTTGCACGGGCAACTTTCTTGACAGTGGCCATGAATCCATTGTGATAAATGCCTCTCCTATGTACAAAGGAAAAGTCGGTTGCTGTTGAGAATACCAGCGAAGTTTCATGCTTTCATCAGTGGTTCGTACTTTGCATTTAAATTTTATTGTTGCTGCCTCTGCCGTCATTGTCCTTTGTGTTGTTGCTGCTGCTGCTGTTTGTTTGTTGCTGCTCCTGTTTGTTTGTTGTCACTGCCGCTGTTTGTTTGTTGTTACTTCTGCTGTTTGTTTGTTGTTACTGCTGCTACTCTTGTTGTCGTTGTTGTTGTAGATGGTGAGGGTCAGGGCCAGTTTTCATCAGCTGCCCTCACTCGGCCCGTGCGTAAGAGAAAACGTTCAGTAAGCAAGTCGACGACGCCGACACCTGCTGCCGTTGTCCATTCTGACTACAGTTTGCTAGGTGCAGCGTCCGCTGTCGACCTGACGCCGATTGAGAAAAGGCTCTTGTCGCGTGGTGCCGTTGCACTGGGCGATGTCATGAAGGACGACTCTCTGTGGAACAATAGAGCCGATTGTGCCGCCGTCGATCAGGTTGCTGAATGAGACTAGCGTATTGAGCTGGAGTGAAGGACATGTAGCATCAGTGCACATACTTTAAAGTAATATTGATTATTCTCTGTAGCGTTAGCTCTGATGCTCTAATCCTGTCCTCGTTTTCTTTCTTTCTTATGAACTGCATGGTAAATCCATGACGTACATTGTAGCTTCCTGTGTTGTTTGGTATTCTATAGGTGTTCTATACTCGTGTGTCTGGCTTGGAATGTTCTATTTTGTAAAATATTAGCCTTTCTTGCTCTGTGCTCTGCCCTTGAAATACCATCAGTTATTGTCTGCACCGATTTCCACCGGTGTATTATGCCTCCTTGGTTTCCCTTTCTTCTCTCTGGCTATTCTCTTGTGCCTTCTTGCTATTGTCCACTTATGTGGGGCTTTGAAAAAATCATGGATTACTGGTGCAATATGCTGAAGTTTCACTGTACAAATCCGCCCACAAGGACTTCCAAAATATTCCTGTCTTGGCTACCATCCCATGTCTGTGTCCGACTCAGTTGTATTTCTCAACTTCGATCCACCATAGATATGATGCATAAGTGCATCATGACCAAAGAGTCCATAACCACGTGGACTCTTGTAATACTGTAATACAAAGATTATACTCTTGGTAATGGCAAGAGTACATAACCCGGGTTATGTACTCTTGGTAATGGTAATACTGACTACATGTATATGGAACGGTCTACATACCGGTATCATAATAATTGATCACAAGTCAAAATTCTGCGGGGAAAGGTTATCCTGCGCATTTTCTGCAAGTTTTTTTACCATCTTTTTAGATATAGAGGACATGACAAACAGTTGAATGAAGGAATACTTTTCTCACTACTTGTATCCTTTACCATCACAAACTGAACGTCTTGGAGAGACATGCACTCATCTACACTGGCAAGAACATTATCTGCTAAAAGATCACAGAGCAGCTTTTCCACTGCTTTCTGTGTAGTCATTTTTACCATGTACATGTACAAGTACTCTTGTTTTTTACTCGTACGATCGTACGAGTACTGCTCAATGAAATCCAGTCGCATCACTGAAGTACGCGCCGGGCGTTGCAAGTTGCACAGCCGTAGACCTGTGAACACTGAACTGCGAAATGGTCCAAGGCGCAAACTTGAGTGGCGTGACTGGATTTCATTGAGCAGCACTGTACATGATAACATGAGATATGACAACAATACTACTAATAGTCATCAAGAGCACATTACCAATATAACACGCGCATGCCTCTCCATAATAGAAAAGGCCAGCTTTTCTAAGTAATACAATCCGTAGTCTTGTCTGTATTGTTGTGGCACATCGTGAAAACACAGGAGCTCCAGTGCAATAGCATGAATCAACACACGCCATGTGCAGGCAACACTGTAGACCGCGCGAGCACTACAGAAGCAGCAGTCTCGGGGATTGAACCATAATTTCAATAATTTTCCGGGGGAGACCCTCCGGACCACCTCCAACGACGGTGCTACGCGCCTGAGCTGCATACAATTATCCATGTAAATTGGATTTTTGTCCACAGAGTATGACTGGGCATGGGGGGTCATGAGAGAGAGAGAGCTCATTCTAACGCAGATGCAGCACTAACTGCAATGCGAACACAGCAGGTGCAAAGTAAACATTCTACTACTACGAAGTGGACAAAGAACACAAGTTGCTTCTAGCTAAAAAAAAAAAAGGACACTGACAAACACAACACACTGCCACAATAGTGCACGTGCAATAACAACAAACAAGAGAAGACAGCTGTGATTCGAGTACTGGTAACAGAACTTGCAATTCAAAGACAACAGAGGGAAAAGGATGACAGTAGCTGCAGCTCAAATTCGGAATCACACAAGCGGGCAGTGGTGTGTTCACTCAGTTAAATAAAGACAGCAGCAGCACTCCACTTCAAGTAGGTTAAAAAAAATAATGTCGCAGCTGCCCGCTCAACTCGTAAAACAGTGATGATAAAAGGGTACGACAAAGACAAAGGTCCTGCATAGATGAAAGTGGCGAGTAATGGCAGGAGCACCCCATCAATGCCACCTGCTAAAAGCAACGGTCGAAAAATAACCAAAGCTGTGGAAGGCTGCCTGGAATGGCTTTGCTGTTAGCCCAGGAGATTCAACCATGGCCAGACCGGATGTGCATTGTGGCTAACACCACTCCCCGCCAGTTAAAACCCTGGTGCAGCGATAGCGAGTCAAGCCAGCTGGTGGTACTGGGTGCATACAAACAGCGCAATCCACGGTAGCCAGCCAAGGAAGCATCAACACTAAACCATGTCAAAGTGGTGCCTTATCGATGATAGCACATACTCACTCACCAGAAGATGTCCACCGTGGAACAAGTCGTCGAGTGTCAGTGATGGAAAACAGAGAGTAGAAAGGATGCAGAAGGGTAAGCGTGACTGGGACGACATACTGACACTCACAGTGCTGCCAACATAACCATGGCAACAAGCTGGCCACTTATCAGTGCTGCTGCATCCGCTTACACAGTTGAACGCAGCTGGAAGTTCTGGCAGAATGCACAGCTGAACGTGGCTATCTTGTTCTCTTCGACCTCTTGCGCGCGGGTGCCGGACTGTCGGCTGCCTCGTCCTCTGACACAGGACTCTGACGGCCTTTTCTCCGTCGCACAGGTGCCGGCGCAAAGTCTTTCTTCAGCAGCACAATCATCATCGTCATATTGTCAGAGCCAGTGCCATCTCCACTGATGTCCGGTGCCAAGCAGTCATCGCACACCTACAGCCACACAGAAGTGACAACGAGAACAACAACATCATTATACAGAACACCAATACAATAGGAGAAACTGACCGTAGTTCAGCACAGACTGGAGAGAGCAAACGCATTCAAAGTTTGCCACAGTCATGCATAAATATGCTCCATAACAAAAGGACTAGTGCAAAAATAGGCATTTACTCTACATCAGTATGCCGAAGCGAGAAATGCATTTAGCATATTCTTCATCAGGGCAATACCAAGGGTAAGCAGCATTAACCCTTTACAGACGGACCATGCATGTATCGAGCACGGATGATCGATAAATTCAACATTTTCAAACTATCGTAGCTCTGTCAATTCTCAGTCATTTGGAGAAAGCGAAAAATGTAGATCGATTAGAAAACTCCCAGCGGTCGCCTCGAACAATCGCCGGAGTGATAGGATAAGCTAAGCAGCTGATGAGTTACGACACTTGCAACTTTCGTCACGGCCAATTTGCGCAATGTGCGACTAAACAGGGATTTTCTCTGAACACGTGAACCGTTGGCAAAAATACACTCATTCAAATTCAAAACAAAAACTACCGCGAGAGGCTAATAAAATGAGCTTTCTACAAGCAAAAAGAGTGAAAATGGCGTATGGAAATCGATCAAGAGCGCCAGTCCCGAGGGGAATATGTTGCGGATTTCTGTTCGACTATGATTTACGCATGTTGTCGTATTTGGTTCTTGTCTTGTGGAGTCCAGTGTCTGATGTCATATATTATGGTCTAAGTGTACGCGCAAGGATGGGGTGATGTGTGACGTTTATGGTATGTGGTGCATGCAAGAGTACGCGTTGTCAGAGTGTGAGGATGTGCTTCCGTCTGTGCGAGAGTGACTGTCAAGTGAATGCTGTACATGTGCAGTGCTAGTTTGGTCTGGGAACTAGAGTCGTGTGTGATTCGTCCGTGGTCTGGTTGTCTTGGTCTTGTGTTCTGTACGTATTGGTTCCTGATTGGTCGTCCCGATTTGTCGTCGCAATATTACTGCTTGCTCTTTTGTTGTTTTCGTTGAGTCTTTCCCGGGAGTCTTTCCCGTCGTTCACAAAGTTTGTCTCTCTCCTCCTGCGCCCTCGTCATGCCTTGGTATAATATAAGTATTGCAGATATAATCAAGAGTTTGCGTTGTTGTGTGGCGGGGGCCAGGGGGAGAAGACTACAGTAAAACCTGTAACTAACGACCACCCCTTGGTGCCCGGAAAAGTGGTCTTTAGTGGCAGGTGGTCTTTAGTTAGAGGTTTGCACCGCGTGACCATATATGGATCCCATTAGGCCATCATTTTTTATATCTATGTTTCGCGTCAGTTCAACTTCCAGAATCATATGCGAGAGGTGGAACAAAATAAAAAGTTGCAAAATAATAAAAAGGCTCATCAGAGGTGTATAACTGTACATAGCATAATACTCAATAGCTCGTGCATGGTGTACATTCGAAAGAAAAATCGTACATCGAAGCACAAAATCTGCATCACTTTGGACAGAGGAGGCAACCGTTGGTGCCCTTGCTTCGCTGGATTATTGTACTCAGCCTTCAGCAGCGGTGCAAAGAGCTCCGGAATGACGTATCCTCTCAGCTTGAGGCGACCGATGCGGTCTGTTGTAAGCTCATAGAATACTGCTCGCAGATGCCGAACAAACGATTTACCAACGCTGGCATCGAGGCCATTTCTGAATCCCAGTTTCGCCGTATGCAACCAGTCAACACCGATGACTCGCACGATCATACACTATAAAACTGTGCATGATTGATTTATTATTTTTTTCCGAAAAAAATCAAAACGTATGCGTGCGGACGACGCGAAACATAGATATAAAAAATGATGGCCTTATATGATATGTACAGTCAACTTGGCTAATAACGACTGCGGATATAACGACAATTCGCGAATAACAACAGAATTTCCATGCCCAGAGCAAAGTCCCATCCCACTGTAATGCATATAATGAGACTTCGGGTATAACGACACTTCGCGAATAAGGACACCTTTTTGATGCCCCGCCGAGTGTCGTTATAAGCGAAGTTGACTGTATGTCAAAATGCAGATAATACAATCCCCCACCACTTGCGCACTGACATTCTTCTTTCAGATCATACAACACTTGGAGAGAAAGAAAATCAAGTTTTATTGCAGACATTAAATTCAGCTCCTACTTCTGAAGCCAGGAGTCAAGAGTTCCCTGTTGAAGCTTCTCTTTGCGCTGGGCTTCAAGTTTGTTCATGAAGGCACCAAGTTTCTCTACATCCATTGCCATGGTAGACAAGCCACGCTGCAACGTAAATTGTTGCAATGTTGAGATGCAGGACAGTGCTTCTTTGCCGGATACTTCTCTGACTTCTGTGGACTCAGTGTGACCTGGTGACTGAGCTGTGTGATTGCACTTCGACAGAGAGCCGCTCAGTCTTAGTTTCTCCTTCGAGTAGTAACATCGATCAAAGAGCGCTTTGGATGCGCTCTCCAAGACATTTCCTATCATGTTTGTTCTTGACAGCACTTGAAATTATGACAGGTGTAGTGCTGTCCACACTGATTCCACAGTCAAAATGAGACTGCGTTCATTTGTCCAGCTGTAGTATCGAAACAGTCCTTTCAGGACCATGGAAAATCATCAACATTTCGAGAAGGAGCTCCGAGCAATGTTTGATTTCCTACATCGCGGTCGCTAGTTACGGGTCAAAATTTGACATTGGGACAAGAAAAGGCGGTCGCTGGTCGCGTTCAGCAGGTAGTCGCTAGTCACAGTGCATTTTGAATGTGAGACCGTTCGTGCCTGACGAAGTGGTCTGTAGTACCAGGCCGGTCGCTAGCCACAGTGCCGGTCGTTAGTTACAGGTTTTACTTTACTTCAATACACCTTGGCTGGCTTGCAGCGCTGGTCCAGCGTACCCTATGGGACCGAATTTTGAGTTCATAGTGTTCCTCTCGTCAGGAGCTTTCCAGGATGCTCAAGATGACGACAATTGTCCACAGGAAACCAAAGTTACGTCCAATTTAAGTGTTTAAAAAATAGAAGATGCAATCCTCTGTATACATTGAGTTCCGTGGGTAACACGAACCACCGACTCATGAAATTTTGTCTGTACCAATGTGCCATTACTACTATGCAAATGAACTCAACTTGACCGAAATATCAGTTATATAATGCTTTGGCGACATACCTCTTCACAGATCTTCGACAGGCAGGTATCGGCACCCCTCTTCAGCAGGCGCTTGCGGACAAACTTAACGCACTCTTCGTTGCTCATGCAGTTCCTGTGCAGACAAGTCCAGCACATGTGAGAATAAACGCAAACACACACTGAGTATTAAAAACATGAATCAGAATGGAAATGTCCATCACACCACCACAAGCAAAGGACCATTCCAAATTTCCAACCACAACCTGGGGAAAGTGCACCAAAGGTTTCCTAAGCTATTCAGCAACGGGAGCTCTTGGCCTCTACAGCAACATGCAAGCAACGGCATTCGCAAGACACTTACCAGATGCCATCGCAAGCCAAGATCATGAACTCATCAGCCCTACACAAACCAGAAGACAAAACACACATTGCAAGAAGATGGAGTGACAAGGAGAGTGACAAGACAAACACACATTGCAAGAAGATGGAGTGACAAGGACAGTGACAAGACGCAATACATGAAAGAAAGAAGAAGAGCTCCAAAAGTTGTTCCGGGAGAAATTGCAATGGTGGTGCCACTGTTACAATAGAGACATGCCCGCAGCACCAAGCACCATCGGTCCAGGTGTAAACCAGAAACACATACGGACCAGCGGACCAGGAAAGAACACCACAAACGGACACAGATCTCCTAAGAGCGGGACAAGTACTCACGCTCCAATAGTCTCAATTCTGATGTCAGGCTTGGCAATGATCATTTGTTCGTCTGCGGGGAGATCTTCATTCAACTTGTAGCCATGATCACCTGACATAGCCGGACCATGCAAGCACAAACAAAAGAACGTCGATGAGCCAACAGTATAGCAACTCCTCCCAGCGACGCACTACTCAACAGCAACACGACATCAATCAGCAGCATTGCACAATGCAAAGAACAGACGTTACAGCACAAGGGCGCAAAACCTGGGTGTGCTTCAATACAGCAGCAGCACACTGTGTACAGGAAGCAGTGCAGTGCACACAGGCCATAGGCATTCACCACTCACCAATAGCTCTAGACATGTTGAGCCCGTTGTTGACCCGGCCTACATCGCTGACAACGCCACCAGCACGCTCAATACGTTCCCTCTCCTCCGGCAGCTCTGGCTGATGGTCCTCGGACATGGCAACAGCCTCACCACCTCGACAAAGAACACACCGAGAGTCACCAGTATTCGCCACGACAAGTTGGCCTCCTGTTAGCAATGCAGCCACTGCAGTTGAACCACTGCTCTTGCCAACGCCTTGAGGAAAGTCCTCGTCGAAGTCAGACACTGTGCGTCCATCTTCTTCATCGTCCTCGTCCTCCTCATCTTCACTATCAAGACTTTCATCATCACCCTCCTCGTCATCATCAGCAGAGCCCTCGTAATCCTCTTCACTTTCATCATCATCATCACCATCACTTTCCTTATCATGAACACCATTCTGAGGTGCGTCATCAGCTTGCGACTTCTCTTCTTTCTTGCTAGTCTTTGTCTTACTGCTACTGCCTTCACCGGTGGTGGCCTCCTTGGACTCACTCTCCGGAGACACATTCACAGGACCGGTGGCAGCTGCCTTGCTTGGCTTGGCTGCCTTTCTGCGGCGACCAGTGGTCTGTTCAACGTTGGCTTCCTCCTCCTGCACAGGTGCTGGCTTGCTCTCCTCATCATTCTCAGCTTTAGTTTTCTTCTCCTCTTCCTCCTCCTCCTCCTTATCATCATCACCAAAGTCAATTTCATAGCCCACTTTCTGCGCCATGGCTCTAAGGTGCTTCCTCGCTTGCACGTGTTTCGCTTCCTTGCCATTGCTGGCGTCGCCGTTTCCTTCACTGTCGTCAGCATCAGGGTGCACGTCTGCTCCATACTTGGCCATGAGGTCTGCTAGCGACATTTGCGCTTCGCTCACCAGCTCCCTCGCCTCTACTTGCTCATCATCACTGTTGTCGCAAGAGCCACGCTCCGGCTTACGGTCGCTCAGCTGCAGCAAACACCCACAGATACAGACCGGAATTAGAATGTAACAGGTTACACAGAGCTATTGCTGTACACTTTACTTTGTGATGCGACTCCACAAACACAGATGCCTGATGGTCAGTAGAACTCACTCACACACATGTCTGGGGAGCAAGACTTGTTTCCCTTAACCCTTTGAGGTGCCACTGAACGCGTGAAAATGCGCAATTGCAGTTCACTCCACCATTTCCATCATAACTTACGTTCTGTTTGCTTGATTTTGACAGTCTAGGGCTCTTTGAAACGCTCTTTCCGCTGCCAAGAGAATGACGCCACGCTCAACTCCGTGGGTGCCACAAAGCCTGCTCCAGAGCGCAGGGAATCGCCATAGGTCGGGCCTCGTGTTGAAAGAAATACTTCTAAATTTCATCCCAATGCCATTTCGCTGTCGTTTCTTGCACAGCTCTGGATTTTTTTGCATCTCAATCAGTAGTTTCGACGTCATTACACCCGCACGTCATCAGCTGGCTGCACACCACGTGATCCACGGGAAATCCCCGAAGCACGAGGCAAAAAAATGATTTTGAGACGTTTGAACAATTTAGTGCCGCGATCAAACTTTCGAGCGTCATATCTTTATCATCGTTTCTCCTATCGCAAAAGCGATTACACCATTGGAAAGCTTGGAGCTTCCTCTTTGATCTACATATTTCGATATTTGCAACAGGACAAAAATCGATGGAGTTACGACAGTTTTACGGTACGTACACAATATCAGTCGTTAATGACTGATGCACCGCTAAGGGTTAACAGACTTTCTTGTTGCTGGAGATTTGTCCAGTATAAGACATGTATTCCGGTCACAGAACACTCATACCGGTTGTACTGTACAGCGTGCAGTACATTCACGAAGCTCGTGGCTTGGATGACCAGGTCAGCAAACTGCTAGATAGCCACTGGAAATTAGTGATGTAACGAATAATCGATTATTCGAATTTCCTCGATCTCTTGGACCTCAACGAATAATCAATCGGATAAAAATTATAAAATCCAGGTCGAAAATTCGATTATTCGCGGGCGGGCGAAGTCCGTGCGCTGCATACTGCGCGTGCGGCTCTAGATCTCTCGACTTGAATGCATAAACGGTGTACTGTGTTGCAGACAACGACTACACTACGTGTGGTAGACCATGGTAGACTCTACTCTGACTGGAGTCTGAGCGCTTGTGTTGTGTGTTTGCTACATGTACACTTTCTGTGGAATAGTAGAATAATTGTTCGTTCGCTTGAGTGGTATTCGCTAGATTATTTGTTCGTAAAATTCATGGTTCGTTACATGACTACTAGAAATGGACGAGGACGAAGCTGAAGACTGGCTGCTACAAAACAAAGCTGACCCAGAAGAATTCCCAGTCTTATCATAAAATAAGCTACTGGCGTGGACACGGAAATCCAGTCGAATGACCGGGGCCGGCGCCCTCAGCGCGTACAGAACGTAACGGCTTTGCACGCAGTGTCATGTTGATCCGATGCGACCAGCGCGCTGCAGCGCATATGTACCGCTTACCCACGGCTGCATGGCCAGCGCACTGGGGCCGCTAGACGTGCGACCGGATTTCCATGTCCAGAACAGTAGCATTAATAGCAGCACCAGTAGATGTAAGGACATTGCCCATGAGAACCTACTTTCTCCAATTCTTCAATAGCCTCGTCAGTGAGGAGTTTGGCATCAATGTTCATGAATGTCTCGGTCAAAGCCTTGCCCAGCTTCTTTGCATTGATCTTCTTGTCTTTCACAGCTGCTGCGTAGAGCTTGTTCTTCTGGAGAAACTGACCAAGATGTAGAGCCAGGTACTGTGCAACCTCGGGGCCTAGAAATTAGTACATACCAACAACCATACATGACATGTAACAAACACGCATGCCCACACATACACATATGCAAGGGCAAGTGCCCACGCAGACAAACAAGTAAACCCGCTGGTCAGCCTCAGTCCAAGTGCTGTACAATATACACTAGGATACATGTACTGGTGCGGTGTACCAGATCTGAAATGCTAAGTAGCAGCACAGTAGGCCAGACCTACTCAACACAGCAAGTGTCCCAAGTGTGTTGTTGGTAGGTACAGCACAAGCCCTGTCTTGCTTTCATACACCATTAATGATGATGAGGCACAATTGGGTGGTCAGGCAACAAAATTGGGAAACCCGTACTTTACAGAGCTGCATGCACATGTTCCAAAATGTGTGCCACGATAGAAATGAAGAGTGTCGAAACTCTGGCATGTTCTACCACCAAGAATGAGCAGTTGGGAGTTGCACTTCGGTCCAGATACATGTACATGCACCTGGGTTTCTCTTTGGTTTTTCGTTTCAAATTATTTATTGAAAGCACAACCCATCCCAGTCAAACCGATGGCGCAGAAGATTGAAATCAACATTTTCGCTGGATTTCGATCCACCTGCAGAAAGGGTGGGTGAATGCAAGACAATACAAAATACTTAATCATGAAAGCAAGAGGTAAATCCGGTCGGCTCTCAAGTCATCATGCAGCAGGATATCCGCCTATAGCACTGGTTTCCATTATTTTCTCGCTGCTGTTCCCAGACACAATGCAAAATCTGTTTCCACGCCCTAGTGATCATGGGCCATAGCGAGATCTTCATTGGAAGGGTTCACAGGTTCATTAGTGACCGTTTTAGTCGTCGGGGTCAGCAGTGTGGGAAAGGCTGACGGGGATGGGCTCATGCTATATTTGGCGAACATGTCATGCAATGGGAACTAGTGTTCCTTACAGGGCAGGGAGGGAGGGACTCACAGAAAAATAGTAAAGTCAAAATATTGTATGAAATGACAGCATACCACAAATATTGTATGAAATGACAGCATACCACATGGTGGTAGAGGACACACTGTAAAGAACATTGCTTTATGTTAAAACCAGAAACAGGTTGCCAGGGCCTTGTGACCATACGAACAATATGACCACTGTTCCTTACAATGTGTCCTCCACCTCGTGAGAAGCTGTCATTTCATACCCAAGCACTATAAGTCAAACAAATATTCGGCGCATATTTATTTTCGGCTAATATTATTTCGGGCTGGTCATGTTCGGCCGAAAAATAATTTGTTTTGCAATGTTCAGTGTGACAGTGTATACATGCGGCAGCAGTACAGGCCGAAAATTTGATGTGGTCGAAATCGGTTTTAGTCCTGGGAGTCCGAAATTTTAATGGGCCGAAAATTTGTCGATTTACAGTACAGTTAAACCTGTAATGGCGACCACTCGGATATGGCGACCACTCGACCATGGCGACCACATTTCCTTGTCACGGACGCATTCACATTCAAAACAGCTCGGATAAGGCGACCACTCGCTCAACGCGACCGACGACCACCCACCTGTGCACCCGCGACAGCGTTGCACAGTGCTAGTACATGTAAATGTATGCATTGTATGGTGCACCATGCATGGTAGATCTACACATCAGTGCAGGAAGTGTAGATGTGCATGGTGCATGCACGACACTTGACAGGTCTGAGGACCCCAGGCACATGAGTCGTGCTAGAGTAGCGTAGGTGTGCGCACTGTGATACACTGATCAAAATGATGTATCACATGTGGATATGGTCACGTGACCCACTGAACCTGGATAAGAAGACCACCTGGCCACGGCGACCACTTTTTCTCGTCCCTTGAGGGGTCGCCTTAGACAGGTTTCACTGTACTCACAAGCAAGGCTTCCATAAATCAAAGCCGTGTGATATGCAGCAAATCATGGAAGACCTCGACTTGCACGTGCCACAATTAGTACAAACGTGCTAATGCGAGCATGTACCACTCTACGGGCGTGTGTGATGTCCCGCGGCGACACGATCAAACAGGTACTCGCAAGTGCTCGATGTGAGGGCAGCGGAAATGATTGAGACTTGAGAGCACCCCTCTAACCGGACTCACTTGCGAGATCCTCATTTTCCAACGGGTATAAAACTAAAAGGCATAGGGATGGCCTGTCACAGTACAGGCTGGCTGGAGCATCTCTCCCCATTTCTCTAGTTCCTCAGCACTCTGGTACTCTCCTCCAGTGTATGTATTTGTCCGCAATTCAGTTGATAATTTTGACAACAGTGCCCATGAACTTCCTGCTCAGTACTCAACATTTCATGCTGTGCTAACGCAAATTCAGTAGATGTTACCTTTGCATAATACTTGGCAAATAAAGAAATGGCTCACCCCTGCTAAACATGTTCATTGAAAAGTTATTATTTTGGAAAGTCTTGGAGGGATAAGAGCGTGGACTATCTCTTCCCTGAGCACACTAGAAGTTGACCCTACCCAGGCAGTGCAGAGAGTGTAAGCAGTAACTATCCTCGCCACTTTCCATGACTCTTCTTGTGCACAGATGTTCTGACCTTCCGAAACTGAGTGGGAATTATAATTATTATTTTGGTGTTTGCACTATATCAGCACGAAGGAAATATAGTGGACAGTTCGCGCCCGTCTGGGAAATAAGTTTTGAGAGTGGCGTGATACATTGAATTCATGGACGTACCAGCGTGACCATCAAACACTCCAAATAATTTGCGGCCATTGTCGAAGTCCAGATTACACAGATGAGCGTCCTGACAATGGGAAGAAACACCATTTACCGAGCCTTAGATGATAGCCGTCCTGAGATATCAGTTCAAATACCATATTTCCGTCCTACCTCCATTCCAGACCGCCATCCCTGCATGGAAGTTACTCCATAGCAGATACCAGAAGTCTCGTCTTTGTCATCAAAAGACTCCTTGTCAGTGTTCGGCTGGCTAAGGAATTGACCCATTTTGCATCAAATTTGGGGACTGCGGTGGCTAGTCCAAAAGCATCAACAGGTCAGCACCACTTCTCTTCGACAACCGTTTCTGTGAAGTAACTGAGTCTGCAGTTTGTAGAACTATTACTTGAAGTCGACGCTTGGGCCACAGCTCAAACAAACCTCAACCACGCGCCTGGCCTACCTTTCACGTTCACCACCACACTCTGTACTCCGCAGATCAACAGAAACTCGGGGATCGGGAATGTACCGGTGATCGATCTCGAGCTGGCGGGGATAGCTAGCTAGCTGGATATGAATGGGTGCGTCCGATAATTCAATTTTGGCGCGAATTTTGCAATCCCATGAGCTGAGGCGCATATGCGCATATCACGTGCAAAAGCCTGGTCACGTGGTCACAACGTCACCCTTTGGTGACCCTGCCCCGGCCTGGTCAAAACGTCACACTGGCACTTCACTGACAGTCTGTGCATTTAGGGACCATCGCAAAAGTTCGCAGAAGCCCCCGAAACGAAGACCGTGAGTTTCGGGCCTGACCCCCCTCCCTCCCCCCTCAAACGAAACGACAGTCACAATATGGGCTTCATTTTTTCACTTGGATGCTCACACATAATAATTATTATAATATACTACACAAGCATTGTTGTATCAGTGTGTAACAATGTACAGCACTTTATAAATGCAACGATGATATCACCTTGCAGTGGATGGCCCACGCCTGGTAAAAAAAACAAAAACAAAAAAAAACAATGAGAAGTTGCGTACAAATCGTGTACAGACTAAACAGACTATGGATAATAACAAGAGTAGATACAGTCCATACGCCAAGGGCCAAAAATGAGCCGAATCTTTATGCAAAATGAAGATGACGACGCCGCTTTTTTCGACTTTTTCTGTGACCAATTTTGAGCAGAATCACCATTTTGATCGTCGTCGATTTGGCATGGAAGACTTTCATGAATGCTATTATAACTTGGCCTGCTGAGGGCTAGGATAGTCCTTAAACAAAATCTGGAAGCCGTTCCGCCAGAGATTTTCCGTCATGTTGCAGCAGAGCCACTTTTCTCAATTTTGCGTCGTCCAGAATTTATGATTTTCGGATGCCAAAATACTTGATGGCGTGAGAACCAAAAAAGAACTACCGGACACCACCCAGACCTCAGGTATGTATAGTCCATTGTCCTAGGCTGCTCATAAAGCAAAAATTGTCTTGATAGTAACTTGCCCAAAAATTTGGCGAATTTTTCCTAATACCCTTGTTGCCAATGCACGAGAATCACGAAAACTGGTATGGCTGATAGATTTCTGATTTTCTTCTCGTAAACTTGAGAACAATTATCTACGATGTTACAAATATTAATAGGTGTTTTGAATGTGAACAGATACACTTCAAAAGGCTGATAGCGTTCTCAGATCAGCTGCAAACGAGGGTCAAAATTGTAGTTCAGAGCGATGTCCATTGAGGCACTTCACCCGATTTCGCAGTTCATACATGGTAGTCATAGGAATTTGGGTAGAATTAAATAAGTATGTATGCACTCTTAATTACTCCATAGACAAAAACATGTTCTGGAGTCTCATGGTGTTTGGCAGGCGCAATTATTACTTTCATCGTTTCTCGGTGAATTAACTCGCTCCACCATTCCACACTGCACTCTTAGCCGACCCACGCCGCTTGCACATCACCAACACAACGGGGACATTCCTGTTGAGATATTCCTGCCCCGTAAGCCAAGAAAAAAAAGACAGCATTACAGTGAACAGACGCTGACAAGAGGACCATATCGTAATGGCCCATGCGCTTATACACACGCTTTTGCCGTATTTGTAACTTTTGCAGGTCGATTGGTCTGACATAGAGGCGCGCGCATGTGCTTGTAGTTGTGTTACCAGTATGGAATGCGGAAGCTGCGCATTAAACCCTGTAAAAATGGCATATGGTGGTATCAGCGTGTCGTGGCCCGTGGGATTGGGTTCACCTATGAATTACAAGTAGGGCTGAACGATTATACCGATTACTCGGTCATTGATCAATAATTCCTCACAATCAACTTCATAATCGTTACGTTATAGATTACTCGTTAGGGATGTTGAGTTCAAAACGTACTGGAAACCCCGTTTTGTGAAGTTTGAATTAGTTTCCACCGAGAGTATACAGTTGCCTGGGGTATGGCTTATGTTCTGAGGTTCAATTGCATTCAGAATACATTGTAGTGGTTTACTTGTATACTAGTCACGATGCTTATGACTTCAGGCGCGTGCTCGGCGATGGGCACGGGGGGCACGTGCACCCCCCAAAATTTTTTAATCTGATCCAAGGCCGCAATTGTAATGCATGCAAATATGCTCTAAAATTCAAGAAAGGTTGCAAACAAATTGCAGAAAATTGCCGGGGGGGCTCCCCTCGGCTGCCGTGCACCCCCCTAGTTGGGGGGCCGAGCACGCCCCTGGACTTGGTGTGGCTTTTCATTTTGTTTTTGTCCATGCAGGAGTCAGGATTATGCCGTCTACTGAACATTGTCGCATGCGTTCCTATAGAGCAAGCTGGCTGCTCTCCATCTTGATTATGGACCTCAAGTGTGGACCTGTGATAACTCGCTCGGACAGCGTTCCGGTTAGTCTCGCCCATGGCTGTGTCGTCTCTAACCCTCGGAACGTTTTGTGACAAGTATAGTCACGGCTGGCATAACGCAACTTCACCCAGTCCTAACCCAACACACACATAACCAACTGATCTCGTCAGAGCAGAGAATATGTTCCTGTTTGGAAGAAGAGCACCGAAAGAACCTCTCGCTAAAAGCAGCAGCATGCTATGATATAACACATCGTAGAAAACAGCAAGCAGCGGCAGTAGCGATAGTACTTGCTAAACATGCAGCTGAACTGCAACTTACTTTGTCCGCTGCGCGGAACGGCGATCGGACACGCACACGCACACACGCACAGGTCTGCGTGATCTAGAAGCGGCTGTCATCATAAGATACGCAAAGTGTGAAAGGGTATTGGAACGGGGCAAGCCTAGACCCGGCGTCTGGACCGCAACATGTACTTGATTAAAAGCATAGCCAGTCAATGGTCAAGCAGGTGCAATCACGCACATCCACACCTAGCGTACTACTACTATAAAGCGAATTCATAACTACAGGTACATTGCACTTTCTACTGCAAATGCACAGTCGTGCGCTTCATCTATTGACAGCAGCAAAACCTATCATTTTACAGTCTCACTGGGTAGGTGACCTCGCCGGCACACACCGTATTATATTGTACAATAACTGTTCCAACTACGGTCCGGAAAACACAGTGTGTCCACGTTCTACGCACAGTAGCTATCAGCAGTAGTTAAAAGTTACAAGCCCTCACTCTCGGGCTATGACATCTCCCCGCGCCTTCGAAAAGACTGCCACGTCCTCGTGGCGACAACATTCGGCTTACCGTCGTCTTCTCAACTGGGTTTGCATTCCAAAGTACTGCGGTGGCCGGACGGTCCTCCCAGCTCGAGTCTGAACCGCAATCTGGGCTGGTTGTGGTGGTGGCTGGTTGACTGGTAGCGGGATCTGCACAACTGGTTGGCCGCCAACACCGTCCACGCCGCCATACGTCTCATGCTGAGCATCCTCATCAGAATCCCAATACAACAAGTCTGTAGGGTCCGGCACATACACATCAGCCGGGGGCGTTTCGACAGACTCAGCATCTTCAGGTTCCTCCACCTCACTCACAGCGTGAAGATGGTTAGGCCTTACTCTACATCGTTTTAGCCTGTTCAAGTGCACAATCTGCACCTTGACATTGGCCGCTCGTGTATCTCTCACCCGATACACTACGTCTGACAGCTTCGTTACTATTTCAAACGGCCCTTGCCAGAGCTTGGAGAACTTCGGAGTAGTCCCCACCGGAACTGCTGGTACCAACAACCATACCAGATCTCCTTCTGCGAATGAAACGGGTACTGCTCCCGAATCATGCAAGTGAGCTTGATGCTTGTGCACGGTTTCCAACTTCTTCCGCACAACTGCATGCACATGCGCTAGCCTTTGTCTCAAATCTCTGACGTAGCTAGGCTCGCATAAGCTGACCATCTCATCAGGTGGTAAGCCATAAGCGACATCCTGTGGCAGACACATCTGTCTACCGAACAGTAGATACGCAGGCGTGTAACCCGTACTCGCCTGAGGCGTGGCTCTGTAAGCCATCAAAACCGCCGGCAAATGCACATCCCAATCTCGCTGATGCACATCGACATAGTGAGAAATCATCTTCTCCAATGTCTGATTAAAACGCTCTACCAACCCATTTCCAGCAGGGTGATAAGCCGTCGTCCTGGTCTTTTTAATACCAAGCATTGAACAGACATCTCTGAACAATCTGGAGTCAAAGTTTTTGCCCTGGTCAGTGTGCACACTCTCCGGTGCTCCAAACCTTGCAACAAACTCACTCACAAACTTTGAAGCTATCGTGGATGCATCCATCCTTTTCAGCGGATACGCTTCAACCCATTTGGTAAAATAGTCAACAATTACCAAAATGTGCTTGTTGCCAGCATCTGTCTCTGGCAATCCGGGAATCAAATCCATTCCAACTCTCTCGAATGGATATCCCGACCAAGTGACCTCTAGTGGTGCGCCACTGCCACGCCCCACAGGCCTCGATCGTCGACTGCACGACGCACAACTACCAATCCAGTCTTCCACATCTCTCTTCATGCCATACCAGAAGAGCTTGGACTGAATCTGGTGATACGTTCTAGTCACCCCTAAGTGACCTAGATGATCATGGTACTCACTCAGCACCTGACCGCGCAACGCAACTGGCACCAAAATTTGAAACTTTGTGCCCTCTCCTGCGTTCTCACTGTGCAAAACGCGACATATCACGTCCTCTCGCACCACAAGACATTGTCGTCCTCGGAAATAATGCCTCAGAGCCGGACTCACACCAGTCAAGTCAGGCGAAGATGACCCGGAGCTGAGCCACTCACTCAGCCGTGTCAATTCATGATCACGTTGCTGAACATCAGCCCAATCAGCTGATGTCCAGTTTCGTCGCCGCACAAAGGGCGTAGGAAGGTCACTCTGGACCGACTCAGCGTTCGCCACTGAGCTCCTTTCGTCTGATACCACAGCGATCACCTCATCAGGGACTGTGGTGCCACACCTCTGATCCTGCACTTGTCGAGACAAGCCATCAGCATTGGCATGGACTTTACCTTTCCGATAACGCAC